TCCATACTCTTCAGATCTCAACCTCATTGAGAACCTATGGTATTATCTCAAGTGTCAGCTTTGTGGATATGATACAGCACCCACCAGCATCACTGAACTTTGGAGGCGCACAGGAGATGTCTGGTACCAAAAAGTAATGAAGGAAATGTGTGTGAAGCATATTGAAAGTATACCAGCACGTTTGACGGCCATGATTCAGGCTAAAGGTGGACAAACAAAGTGGTAGATAATAAAAATTAGGTAAGTCAAAAAAGTGGGGCAATGCATAATATATTTTAATCAGCGATTTCTCTAAATCTAGCCAATCAATCTGCTTCATTTTTATTTTATTTTTTAGAGTACTATCTGTAGTTTATCTGTATGAAATATCATTTAATTTGAATCATCCATTTTTGAGAAATTCATTTAAATAGACATTTTTCACAAACATTACCCCACTTTTTTGAGTCACTGTATCTTGTATAGGTAGCATAAACGTAGTGTTGCTACTTGTCTATGTATGTGGTATCATGATGTTGTGAGGTCGTCAACATTCATGATACATTCTGAGGGTAGTGGCTGTTCCTCATAATCAGCAAGCTAACACTTCAGATAATATCACATATTTTTAATGGGATTCAAATCAGGAGAGTAAGGGGGCCACTGGAGTACTTCAATACCCTTGGATTCAAATCATGCTTTTGCTTTTTTAGATGTGTGCTTAGGGTCATTGTCTTGTTGAAAAATGATATCATCAATTTGCATACTATATTCTTGAAGGCTACCAAGCATATCATCTTTCAAAATATTATAATATAAAGCTGCATCCAATCCTCCTTTAATTTTGGTAATCAAACCAGAGCCATTGGCAGTAATGCAACTCCAAAGAAAAAGACTGCCGCCTCCATGTTTGGTAACATGATTGATGTTGTGATCTCTAAGTGGTTGCTTCTTCTGTGTCTATATCCACTGTTTACCATCTGATTCCAAGCGATTGATTTTTGTTTCATCAGAAAATACCACTCTGTTTCAGTCTTCAACAGTCCAAGAATAGTATCTTTTTGCAAAGGCAAGGCAAGCTTTTCTTCCTGAAGGGGGTCAAGGGCAAGATGTCAGATTTATGCATGGACTTAGTTATTAGCCTGCAAAAAGTCCCAAATCATCTGGAGAGCAATAGACATGGTGGAGAAAAGTTGTCTGCTGGTGTCCACAGCCATTTTATACTCCCCAGTATTGAAGCGTTGAAGGATCAGACGTCTCAATTGTGTGGCAATCAGTGATGATCGTCCAGTGGAATTAGTGGCAGGAATGCCTAATTGCTTGCGAATTCGTCTGACTGTAGAAACACTGAATGAAACGTGAAGCAATAACTCTGTGAGAAACGTTCTTGCAAAGTTATTGTTCAATGTTGTTGATTTTATCTTGTGAAATCAGATGTATAGTGGGGGAAAAAATGGTCCAAACCTATGCCCTTTTTTTATGTTTTTATTCATACAGCGGCTTTCACTATACAGTATATACCATCCGAATTTTTTTTTTATATGAAAAGTACATTCTCTTCTCTACATTGTCGCGAAATCCCGGTGATTGCATTGCAATTCATCCCATTGCATTCACCATTTCAAGATGACCAGTCGGTTTGGACCATTTTTTCCAATAAAACCGAAAATAAGAAAAAGCACGTTTTTCTTCCTTGCTGATATACAGTAATAAACACTGGCGAAATAAAAGTATCTTTATGGCAACGTCCTCTAAAAAATATACACGAAGCATTCCGCGTGAAATCGTGAAATGCATTAGCTCCATGTTGCATCCGACGCATAATGGGCAGGTCTGGAGACCGCCATCACGTTGCATCATTTTTTTTGAACACATTTTTCATAGCACCGCGCCTTTTTTTTATTCATAAAAAAAGAGAATTCTTTTCTTTACTCTGTCCCGAAATCCTGAGCATTTTACTTCAATTCATCCTAATGCCATTGCCAATTCTGCATGTGATCTTCATTAAGAAAGGTGCTTAAATGACGCGAAAAAAAAGCAGCCGAAAAGTATGCGAAATAATCTTGCACTAATAAAAAACCGTGCTGGCAAGCCTTTTATAGTATCATAGATGATGTTCAATTTGACAGAAACATGGAAAGTATAAAAGCAGTTGTGCCATGTGGTCCTGATTAACCTCATCCTCTGTGATAATCTCATTCTTCTCATCTCACTAACATGCTATCCCAACTTACCGCTGACAAGCTCAACAACCTCCGGGTGCAGCTTTCACGAGGTGAGAGCTATAAAAAAATCGTCATTGCCTTGAGACTGTCTCCCAGTACTGTTTCTAAGTATGCAAGAAGTACTTCCCGGAACGTGAAAAATATGCAAGCTGGACGACCATCGTTGTTTTCACCAACAACCATTGCCTCAGTGCGCCGGAAGGTTTTTTCTGACGAGCTTACCACTGCTGTTGCCATTCAGAAATATTTGAGGGAGCTAGGGACATCATGCATACGTAAAACAGTGTGCAATCTGTTGAAGCAACTTGGTTTCGAAGCTCGCATAAAAATCAAAAAACCATTACTTACCAAGAGACACATAAAGGCGCGATTGGATTGGGCCAAAGCTCATCAACACTGGACAGTCAACGATTGGAAACAAGTGGTGTGGTCTGATGAGACCAAGATCAATGTCTGGGGCTTGGATGGAGTTAAATACTGCTGGGTTAAGCCGGGCGATCCCTTGAAGCCTCATCATCTGGATCTGACTGTCAAGCACAGAAATGGCAACATCATGCTATGGGGCTGCATGACATATGAAGGCCTCAGTTATGCGTGTCAGATTTTCGACGGCACAATGAAGAAGGAGGATTACGTAGAGATTCTGAAGACCACTCTGCATAATTCAATCGAGCATTACGACCTGGACGAAGATGCAATGATCTTCCAACACGATAACGATCCCAAACATACTGCCAAGTATACGAAGGACTACCTGAACTCGTGCCGTTTTTCTGTTCTGCCTTGGCCGGCCCAGTCGCCGGATCTTAACCCCATTGAGCATATATAGCATCACCTTAAGCTCAAATTGAGCTATTATGACCGCCAAGCCAGTGGGGTTACCGAATTGTGGACTCGTGTTGAGGATCAGTGGAACGCGTTCCCTTTGGAACTTTGTAAAAAATACATTGAGAGTATGCCGGCTCGTGTGCAAGCTGTTCTGAGGGCCAAGGGTGGGCATACTCGATTTTAATAAAGCGCTTTATGCAAAACGTCGCCATTGACAAAGGATGCATAATTGACAGTAGTTGGGGAACAGTTTGTGTGAAATGGCCGAAATTCCGGAAGAAGAGTGGGAAGAGTGTGAACAAAAAAATAAATAAAAAACGGCGGCTAAATAATTGCTGGTTTACTGACGAAGAAAAGATGCAGTATGCTGGCAGTCCTCAGATCTGCTGCCCATTATGCACCGAATTCAACATGGAGCTAATGGCGTTCATGAATTGCACGATTCTGCCTGGAATGCTTCACATATATTTTTTAGAGGACGCTGCCATAAAGATATTTTTATTTCGCCAGTGTTTATTATATCGGCAAGAAGAAAAACGGGTGAAAAAATGCTTTTTCTTATTTTTGGGTTTTTGGGAAAAAATGGTCCAAACCGACCGCTCGTCTTGAAATGGTGAATGCAATGGGATGAATTGCAATGCGATCACCAGGATTTCGCGATAATGTAGAGAAGAGAATGTACTTTTCATATAAAAAAAAATTCGGACGGTATATATAGTGAAAGCCGCCGTATGAATAAAAACGTAAAAAAAGAGCATAGGTTTGGACCATTTTTTCTCCCACTGTATATTACTGTAGAATGGGGGCATCTGTCATTCGTTTCTTAATCTCAGTAAAAGCAGCTTGACAGTTTGGTATCCATTTGATAGGGCGCATCTTGGATCTGATTCCTTTGGTCAGGTCAGTCAATGGGGCGGCGATCATTGAGAAGTCTTTGATAAAGCGATGGTAATGTGATCTTAGACCCACAAATTGTCGAACCTCTTAGACGTTGGTTGGTTGTGGCCAGTCTTGAATAGCCTTGACTTTGTCTCGGGAAGGCAATATGCCATGGGCGGAAACCTGAAATCCCACGAACTGCAATTTGGTTTTGTTGAACTCACATTTCTTGAGATTGGCAATCAGAGCGGCCTTGTGTAGGCACTGCAAAACTTGACGGATATAATGATAATATTCTTCTTGGGTTCGACTATAGATCAAGATATCATCCAGGTACACAAGTGCAAAATCATCAAAGCAGTCACCGAGGACTTCGTTCATCAGTTTTTGAAAAGTTGGCAGAGCATTGGTTAGACTAAAAGGAAGCACCAGAAATTCGTAGAATCTGTAATACTGTACATGTTAAAGGCAGCCTTGGGTATATCTTCCTCATGTATGCACACTTGATAGTATCCACTCTTGAGGTCAATACTTGAAAAATATTTGGTACTGCCCAGCCTTTCTAAACACTCATCAATCCTTGGCAGTGGGTGAGAGTTGCGACGAGTTACACAATTGATAGCACGGTAGTCCATATAAAGTTGCATCGAGCCATTCTTCTTGCGCACAAATAAAACAGATGCTCCCCAAGGTGATATGCTGGGTCGAATGAGGCAGAGGTCGAGTAATTCCTTTAACTATTTGTGCAACTCATCCAGTTCTTTGGGGCTCATCTTGAATGGTGGCCAGCTAATGGGGGCAGCATCTCCAGTGTCGATTATGTGCTCTGATTGTCGATCGGGCGGCAATCCTGGTAAGCTATCCTGGAATACATCAGCAAACTCTTCCACAAGATCACTGTATTGAGAGTCAAATGCCTTGGTACTGGAAGCGATCTCTTTGTTGATGTAGCAAAGGAAGGTTTCTTCAATTTGGTGCTTTCGTTCCAATTATTGTAATTTGTCAATACAATAACAAGTAGGAAAGTTCTAGTAGGTTTCATGCGTATTTAGGGCGTATGGTATATTACAGTCCATTCTATCGAATTTTCTAAGTGTCTAGATCCCAGTCTGGTTCAGGCTTCATTCGCTTGATCCAATCTCGGCCTAAAATCAGATCAAACTTTGTGTTGAGAACGTATGCTGGGAACTCGTACATTAGACCTTCAGCATCAAGCGACAGCGACACCTTACTAACAATGGTGAGCTTGTGACTACTAGCTGTCTCTACTTGACGATTGAAGACAGGCTTGGTGGGAAGACCTTGTATCATTCAGGGTGCGACATAAGTGCAGGTAGCACCACTATCCAGGAGCACCTCACAGGTTTTACCATTGCAGACCATCTTATACAGAGGCAATTCGGTGGACTTTATTAAATTCAAAGTTGCTATGTGATTTACAGTGACTCAGGAAATTGATCCAATGTTCGCCGATTTTTTACTTTATTGTATTTATCTCCACAACTGTCATATGTATCGTTTCCGTTAAAAAAATATGTTGTAGCCCTAATTCATAGCTTTAAAACAAAAAAAGATAAAGTCTCTAGCATAAGTAGATGATGAGTAATCAAGGTTTCCACACGACCGCTCATTGGATCAATTTTCTGAGTTGCACTTACTTATTGAATCAATAATCAATCTGTCCACCTTTGGCCTTGATGACCGCCTCCAAACATCAAGGCATGGTGGCAATATACTTCTGGCATGCCTCCTTTGTTACCTTGTTGTACCAGATATAATGGACCTGCCTCTATAGCTCTTCTATTGATGTGGGTGCTTCATCATAATCAGCAAGCTGACACTTCAGATAATACCACATATTTTCAATTGGATTCAGATCAGGAGAGTAAGGGGGCCACTGGAGTACTTCAATACTCTTGGATTCAAACCATGCTTTTGCTTTTTTAGATGTGTGCTTAGAGTCATTGTCTTGTTGAAAAATGATATTGTCAATCTGCATACCATATTCTCGAAGGCTACCAAGCATATCATCCTCCAAAATATCACAGTATAAAGCTGCGTCCAATCCTCCTTCAATTTTAGTAATCAAACCAGGGCCATTGGCAGTAATGCAACTCTAAAGAAAGAGACTGCCGCCTTCATGCTTGGTAACATGATTGACGTTGTGATCTCTAAGTGGTTGTCCCTTCTGTGTCCATGTCCACTGCTTACCATCTGATCCCAAGCGATTGATTTTTGTTTCATCAGAAAATACCACTCTGTTTCAGTCTTCAACAGTCCAAGAATGGTATCTTTTTGCAAAGGCAAGGCGAGCTTTCTTCCTGGAGGGGGTCAGGGGCAAGGCGTCAGGTTTATGCATGGACTTATAGTTGTTGGCCTGCAAAAAGTCCCAAATCGTCTGGGGAGCAATAGGCGTGGTGGAGGAGAGTTGTCTGCTGGCATCCACAGCCGTTTTATACTCCCCAGTGTTGAAGCATCGAAGGATCAGGCGTCCCAATTGTGTGATAATCAGCGATGATCGTCCAGCAGAATTAGTGGCAGGAATGCCTAATTGCTTGTGAATTCGTCCAACTGTGAAAACACTGACATTGAAATGTGAAGCAATAACTCTGTGAGAAACATTCTCACGAAGTTGTTGTTCAATATTGTTGATTTTATCTTGTGAAATTGGATGCATCTACAGATGATCATGTTAATTAGGTCAATTAGGAATCGGATGAAGGAATTGAGCGAAATGAATGTGGATTTCACCTTGAATCGGAATAAATAACTGAAAGAAGTGAGAAGGAGAAAAAATTCGGTGATTCTATTTACTTACTGTATTGTGACTGTCCACAAGAAAAGTAGGCAACTCAGGAAATTGATCCAATAAGTACTTGTGTGGAAAAAACGATTACTCATCATCTACTTATGCTAGAGACTTCATCTTTTTTTTGTTTTAAAGCTATGAATTAGGGCTACAACATATTTTTTTAACGGAAACAATACGTATGATAGTTGTGGAGATAATTGCAATAAAGTAAAAAATCGGCAAACATTGGATCAATTTCCTGAGTCACTGTACTTATACTAGAGACTTCATCTTTTTTTTTGTTTTAAAGCTATGAATTAGGGCTACAACATATTTTTTTAATGGAAACGATACATAATGACAGTTGTGGAGATAATTGCAATAAAGTAAAAAATCAGCGAACATTAGACCAATTTTCTGAGTCACTGTACAGTAGGTCTTCTACATGCTGATAGTATTCTTCATTCTTGGATGATAGGGGCACAACAGGAGTATCCAGGTCGTCAGATATGTCGATGAGCAGGCTTTCATCTACAGTTTCTTGCTTTGAAATGACGATGTTCAGGATTTTTTCTTCCACAGTGGGACTCCCTTTAATCCTGTCATGCTTGGACTTTTCCCTGCTTCTGGACATATCGGCTACGTTGTCTGCAAGGGGAAGAGCAATTTCGTTGGATGTGTCTATAACCTTGGTAATTGTAATATTGTCGATCGTTTCCTTGTGGGTGTCGTGTCTCTGGAAGGAAAGGACGTATAGCATTGAGATCCATGGGTGCCACACCATCATGACAGAGGTATTTTGGGGTTGGTTGGTTATGAGACACTGTGTTTTGGGGAAACACCAGATTTTGGAGAAACAGCATGGCTGGTTGTACAAAGCTGTGAGCACTCTCGAAGGCCAATGCCATCTTTTCTGCAGCGATCAAAGGTAAATGGATAATGCGTCATAACGTGTGACCGGACATCCACTCTTAAACCTTGGATAAATCGGTCTAAGGCTTCTTCTTCAGTCAAATGTGGAAGTTCAATCTGAATATCTCGGAACTCGTTGATATATTCCGTGTTACTTGCTCTTTGCTGGATGGTGGCTAGACGATCTCGCACCAGTTGTGTGGCATTCAGAGGCCGGTACTCTTGAATAATCATTTTACGGAATTCATGTCAGATTATAGTATTGGCACCTAAGATTTCCTGTTGTTGCCACCACACTTCGGCAGGATCTCATAGCAGGGACACAGCATACTCCATATGTTGGTCTTCATCTACAGTAGCTCCATCAACCAGGCATATTTCTCCACTGATCTTAGCCATGTCTCTATAGCATTTGCCGGACAATTATTAAGATAACACACAGATTCTATGATTTAAACTCCGATATAATTTTAAACTCAATTATTGAAAAAATTAAAAAAAACTAAAAATTGAATTTTTGCTAATAATAAAGATTACTGCAAATATGTTTACAGAACCTTATATAAATTTAAAAGATATTTTTAATAATGAAGACAAAGCTTTATGTTATTTAATTAATAATAACTATATTAATAAAATAGAAAAATGTAAAGTTTGTGATAAAGATACAAAATTATATATAAATAAAAAATTATGGATAAATATTATAATAGGACACATATGCTATATATAGTAATTATATTTTAAATTTATTAATAATTTTTATTATATATTATTTACTATATTTTTGAATTTATAAATAAAAATTTCTTTTATACTGTATTTAAAATTTTAAAATTAAAATAATAATAATGTATTTTTAAAATACAATTCAATTCTTTATTTATTAATATAAGTTTTTTTAAATATAAAGTTATTATATATAATAATTAATATACTATATTTGAAAATTTAAAATTATGAAAAAGTTTTATTTCTAAACTTTAGATTTTATATTTTTATTTAAAGTTAAAAAAAGTTATTATTATATTTCATTATTATTAATAATATATCAACTACTGTATTCATTATTATAATATATATTTTATTTATATTATTTTACTTAATAAAAAGTCATAGTGAGGCATCTAAAGATATAAATAAAAGTTATTTATTTTTAGATAATAGCCCCTTTTATTTCTTTTTTATCTTTTTTTTATCTTTTTAACTTTTTTCTTTTTTTTCTTATAAATTCATAATTTAACTTATACATAATATAATCATATATTTTTTAATTATATATAAATTCAATTTTTATTAAATAAAATTTATCTGAGTTTAAATATATTAAGATCTGTGTGTTATTATAATAATTGTCCAAAATTATATATTTGTAAAAATTATAAATGTAGAAAATCATTTTCACCTTTAACAGGTACAATATTTTCTAAAATGAAATTACCATTAAATATTCAATTACATATATTAAATTATTATCTTTTAAAAATGCCAGCAACTAGTATTGCTGCTACTTTATAAATAAATCCAAATACTGTAAGTTTATATCATAAAATTTTTAGAATATATTTAAAAAATAAAATTAATTTTAATAAAAATATAAAAATTGGAGGAAGAAATAAAATAATTGAAATTGATGAAACTAAAATTAGAAAAAATAAATATAATAGAGGTCATAAAGTTGAAGGTGCATGGGTTATTGGTGGTATTGAAAGAAGTATATTAAAAAATAAAATTAAACATCAAAATCAAAATCAAAAAACATTTTTATTACCAATTCAAAAAAGAAATATAAATAATATTGATAAAATTATAAAGAAATATGTTAAAAAAGGTACTACTATTTATACTGATTGTTGGAAAGGATATAATAACTTAAATAATATAGGATATAAACATTTAACTGTAAATCATAAAAAAAATTTTAAAGATCCAATAACTGGAATACATACTAATTCAATTGAAAGTTTATGGAATCATTTAAAACAAAGTATTCCATTAAGAAATAGAAATAAAAAATATATATTATTACATTTACGTGAATTTCAATGGAGAAAAAAAAATAAAGAATATAATATTTGGAAAAAATTTTTAAAAGATTAATTTATATAAAAAGATAAAAATTGAATTTTGATATTATTAAAAAGATGACACAATATATATTAAATAATACTATAAATATGAAATGTATTTTTAATATTCATTATCTTAAATAATAAGACCTAGTTATGTCAATAAACTAACTTATTTAATACATAATGATTATATAATATACCTAAGAAAGTTGGATATTATATTATGAATGTGATTAAATATAATTATTATAAAATTAAAAAAATAAAAAAAAATTGAAAAATCTAATAATTAAAAAAAAAGATGGATGATATATATGATATGATTATAGATGACAAATATAAATATAATATTAAAAGAAGTATATTTATTAAAGATATGAAAAAATATGATTTATGTGAATATAAAATAAAACAAAAAGAGGGGTGTTATAAAATTTATATGAAAAAAAATGGTTCAAAAAAACAATTAAAAAAAGTTTATGAATTTAAAACATATAATAAAGATAAAAAGAAAGAAAAAAAAAGAAAAACAATAGATAAAACTTTTGAAAATGAAATAGTAATTGATGAAATAACACCCATTATTAAAAGATTAAAAATTAATTAAA